GTTGATGAAACATTGTTTAAAATTAAGATACAATTAATACAAAACGAAATTCGATTTAAAGAAAGGTTTTGTGCTTTCTGTTTGATGTCTTTGTGAAAGTTTTAAAGCATATTTTAAAGTCGCTTAGAGCGGTCATGTCCGTAACATTGTTTTTTCCTCAAATGCCAACACGAAAAATAAAATAATATGAATATTTTATGTTCTGTGGAGACTGAGAGCCCTTTCTTCATCCGGTGGGTAGTAGCTACTGTAGGCTATTACTTTGGTTTGCACAGTGTAATTCACAGAATTAGGCCTAGGCCTACACAAAAATATTTTCATTATAAAATATTTATATTCATTATAAAGTTATATTCATTCAAAGATAGGTTAAATGAAACAAGCTGTTAATTATTTTAATTTTAACTTTGAGCTCCACTTTACAATGCACAGCTGAGCAGCAATGGGCATTGAGCAACGCTGCTGATCATTGTATTGAACAGAGCTGACGCCATTCATTAGAAATATCCTTATTAAAAGGATGATTTTTTTTTAAAGATTTCGCTTTCCTTGGTCACACGGCAACCTTTTCACGAATATGACTTGATATGAAGGACAGATATTTTGTTTACATCCACCTTTCCGCTTCCGATCTGTTGCGTGAGATCACGTGAGGCGCTTTCTCTGGCACGAATCTTAATAACATTGTGTAGTGTGTGATGCGCCACGATTTCTTAAATCTTGTAGTGTGAGCATGTTTAAGATTTGAGGTAAGAAAATCTGCAAAGATTCTCCTTAAGTGTGAGCTGCAACCAGATTTCAAAATCGGTTAGGATTTTAAAACTCCTGTAGTGTGAGCCAGGCTTAAAGGAGTTTTAGGCCGATTTATGCCCGATTTTCCCCTCCCGAGAATCGGAGAAAAAATCTTGTCGAGGACCTCGATCGGTTCCGATGTTCGGCACAGATTATCTGGTAATGTGAGACATTCACAGATCGAATCTTGCACCTCCCGATCTGCTCTTACACAAATCGGGCTCGCCCCGATCATATCAAACATGTTTGATATTTATCGGGATGAGCAAGATTGTGATTACGTCAGTACTGTCACAATAGCCAATAAGTAGGGCTGTCATGGTGAAGGAATTTCCATTGAGGTAATTTTGAGTGACTCATCAGCGCGATGCGCGCATTATCTCCATTTATCCATTTATTGCTAAATAAATAAGCATAATACAGTATAATAAATAATAATAAATACTAAATGCATAATAAAGGCATCTGAAATAATAAACTAAGTAGCCTACAATCTAGTGTTGTCAAAAATATAGATTTTTCGATATCGATCCTGAACCAGCTGCAACTCTTCCGTCTTCCGCAGGATGCACGCGATCTTCAGTAGGCTAGTGAACGCGCCAGAGAGAAATGCACATTTCATACGGATTACATAAGCAGAGAGCAGTCTGTTGTCTGTTTTCTTTCGTTTTGAATTGTTCTGTTTAAAAGTAGACATGTCTGTGAGGCAAGTCTATCTTATACGCTGAGTTTCGGTTCATTTATGAAGTATCGCCGACGCCTCCGTTTCGTGATTATCTATCGTCTGCTATATTTACTTCTTATTTATGAAAATCCAGGCAATTGGTTGATGAAACATTGTTTAAAATTAAGATACAATTAATACAAAACGAAATTCGATTTAAAGAAAGGTTTTGTGCTTTCTGTTTGATGTCTTTGTGAAAGTTGTAAAGCATATTTTAAAGTCGCTTAGAGCGGTCATGTCCGTAAGATTGTTTTTTCCTCAAATGCCAACACGAAAAATAAAATAATATGAATATTTTATGTTCTGTGTGGAGACTGAGAGCCCTTTCTTCATCCGGTGGGTAGTAGCTAATGTAGGCTATTACTTTGGTTTGCACAGTGTAATTCACAGAATTAGGCCTAGGCCTACACAAAAATATTTTCATTATAAAATATTTATATTCATTATAAAGTTATATTCATTCAAAGATAGGTTAAATGAAACAAGCTGTTAATTATTTTAATTTTAACTTTGAGCTCCACTTTACAATGCTCAGCTGAGCAGCAATGGGCATTGAGCAACGCTGCTGATGCTTTACCTTATAGAGATCTATGGCATTGATTCATTGTATTGAACAGAGCTGACGCCATTCATTAGAAATATCCTTATTAAAAGGATGATTTTTTTTTAAAGATTTCGCTTTCCTTGGTCACACGGCAACCTTTTCACGAATATGACTTGATATGAAGGACAGATATTTTGTTTACATCCACCTTTCCGCTTCCGATCTGTTGCGTGAGATCACGTGAGGCGCTTTCTCTGGCACGAATCTTAATAACATTGTGTAGTGTGTGATGCGCCACGATTTTCAAATCTTGTAGTGTGAGCATGTTTAAGATTTGAGGTAAGAAAATCTGCAAAGATTCTCCTTAAGTGTGAGCTGCAACCAGATTTCAAAATCGGTTAGGATTTTAAAACTCCTGTAGTGTGAGCGAGGCTTAAGCGATCCTGGGTGACGTCACTTCTTGTTGACGTTCGAACTATTGTCAAACAAAACGGAGGCTAGCTAGACCCTCCCTCCTCCTCATCCGCACACTAACCCCCCAAACCACACCCCCAAACCCTTCTTGTCGGTGATTGGCTAGAACAGTTTGTTATGTTTTGGGGAGCGGGTCGCTGCAGTTTGTTTTTGTTGCTGTGTGTGGAGCCAGGGCTGTCTACAGAGATCGCGTTTCTTTACAGTGTGTTCAGGGGACAGGCAGCCAGCGGATAGTGAGGAGATGTTTGCTGTATGTGACAAAAAATGTTTTGGCCTAAAAAACGCGTGACATCGCTTAGAGCACCTTTAATATCTTGCATGCTTGACAACTTCTTGTGGTGTTTTATGTATTATCCACCAGAGGGTGCCAACAAATCTGGTTACGCTTTATATTAAAGGGATATATCACCCAAAAAATAAAATTGTCATCATTTACTCACCCTCAAGTTGTTCCAAACCTGTATTAGTAATAGTAGGGCCTATATATATTTATAATAACCTGTATTCTCTCTTCAGTTAAACACAAAAAAAGATATTTTAAAGAATGCTGGTAACCAGACAGTTGATGGATCCCATTGACTTCCTTCCATAGTAGCCTATTTTTTCCTACTATGGAAGTCAATGGCTACTGTCTGTTGATTACCACCATTCTTTAAAATATCTTCTTTTGTGTTCAACAGAATAAATAAACTCACACATGTTTCGATCAACATAAGGGTGAGTAAATGATGACAAAATTGTCATTTTTGGGTGAACTATCCTTTAATATTAAGACAAATGCTCACCCTTATATCTTTAATACATATAATCAAAATAATTCCAATTATTAATATGTATATTAGGTAACGCTTTAGATTACAGCCCGGAAAGTACTGGGTAATTAAAGCAATTTTACAGCGTAACCTTCGGTAATTATAGTGTACCTATAACGTACTTACAATATAAGTATAAGGGAACAATATTTTAAGTTTGGGGAATAAAGGGGTAACAACCAGGAGAATTAAAAAAATATTAATATTGTGAGTATTATAGAACTATGGGGTACTTATTCTACTATTATGATATAACAATCTTACATTTGTGATCAATTAAGCAAGAACATACACTGCGTACCTTTTTGAAATAATGGTGAACCAGTACATAAATAGATATAATAGATATGTACCCTGTAATTTTTAAAATGTAATCTTTTTAACAAAAGTGCACTGAAAATGAAAACTATTGCAACTTTTGCTGAAATATTGGGGAAAGATACTCTTGTTTCATGTAGCTTGTTACCCCCTTGTTCCATGTAGTTACAGGGTAAGTGTGACGTTGCGGGCTGTAAATTAAAGTGGTGCTTGTTACCCTCTTGTTCCATGTTACAGGGTAAGTACAATAAAAATACACACAATCTTATATCACTGACTCGGAAACCTTTATTTATTATACAAGCACCACTTACCCTGTAACCACATGAAACAAGATATATTTCCCAGTATTTAAAAAAATTGCAATAGTCTTAGCTTTTCTTGCCTTGAAACATGTTAGCCCAACTTAAACATCTGCACTTTTGCTATCAAAAAAATAAAATAAAAGTATAAATGCATAGCTATGTACCCTGTCATTTTTAAAAAGCCTACAGTATGTATTGCCTTGCACACAATTATTACAAAAAGGTACATAGTGTATGTTCTCGCTTAATTGCTCCCAAATGTAAGATTGTTGTATCATAATAGTAGAATAAGTACCCCTTAAGTTAGTTCTATAATACTTACAGTATAAATATTTTTTTTAATTCTCCTGGTTGTTACCCCTTTATTCCCCAAACTTTACATATTGTTCCCTTATACTTACATGTAAGTACTTTATAGGTACACTATAATTACCGAAAGTTACTCTGTAAATTCCTCTTAATTACACAGTAGCTACTTTCCGGGCTGTAATCTAAAGCGTTACCGTATATTACTTTTAATTTATATGTTGACGTTATTCTTTATTGAATATTTAAGGATATTTTTCAAAAAATCTTATTCCCACTTTTTCTCACTAAAGTAACATACAGGCTATTAAACGTAGCAAACCACAGAGTTAATTTCTTGTTGTATACGTGCATACAAAAATAAAAAAGAGAGATTATGGAAGGAAACGTAGACTCAGTCTATAGAGTTTTTATTATTATTATTATAATTATTTAAAACCTTAGACCATTTTCAGACTTGGGGATTAAATAGGCCTATGCAAATTTTGCGACAGCCGATTCAGTCAGCTTGCTGCTTAATAATCATGAGCAAGAATTTCCCCATTGGACGATTACAGTGCGACGTCATGGACTACTAAATATTCATACGTCAAGCCACCGTCATTGGAACATTACTAAGCAGCTTTTGTATTGTGTAGGCTACTTAATATTAATCAAACACGCCTTCGCCGAGGTAGGTATTGTAATTGAGGTGAAAGGGAAACAAAACTACAAAACCTGTTCCACGGTTTCGGATGAAGTGTGAAGCTGAGGATTTGAAGCTGAGGATTTAAAGGGAGATATTTGCAGGCAAATATATATATATATTACAAACAAAACAGAGGAGTCAGTTTTATTGAAGTATTCGTTCATTTAAAGAAGAAAACATGAATTGTATTCCTCTCGTCCTGCTTCTCTTTGGTTTGAGTTCTACACTGGCACAGACTACAGCACAGATAAATGCAACAGAAAATGCAACACAATCTTCAACTTCTACACAATCTTCAACAACACAGACTACGACTCAATCTACAAGTACAGCTACAACGACTACACCACCACCACGTCCAAGTAAGGCAAATAGACATTGTTACAATCTCAATTTTGATTAAATTTTTTTGTTTCATTTGTTATAGGTCCTCTAGTTTCACTGTTGTTGAATTTACATAGACATATAATTAAAACTTAACTTAAAACAATAACCAGAATCAATCATTAGGCTACTATCATTTTTTACTATAGTTGTTTTACTACAACGGGCAAAAAAAAAACAAAAAAACTTACAAATACGCATGTTTTGGGGGCCATATATAAGCTGTTTAAACCTTTAATTCCCCTGGAAAACATATGTCGTACTAGTAAATAACTGCCTTACTCTGATTTCCCATGTTGCTTTAGTCTGTTTCATAACTACGGATGGCCAAGGCAACCACTGTCTCATAGGGTCTAATTGTTGCCTAATGTATTGAGTCAGACTCATTTCTGCATTAACTAACGTGTTCTCTCTCACTCTTCTCACTTTTTCTAGGTTGTGAGAGCAAGAATGGTACAAGCTGTGACGCATGCTTGGAAGATGTGAATGTGAGTTTGGATAAAAACTCTCTCTCTCTGTGTGATATTATTGTCATAATATTTATTTATACATATTTACTTATTTATTTAATACATATTTTTGCATGTCACTGGTCTACAAAGCAGACTGGCCTGTTTTATTCACTCTGTGTTCACTGTTTACTTACAACACAAACATAAGGGTGAGTGTAAACATGTTACAGTAGGAAGGAGGGAGATTTGACCTGTATAAATGAAAACATAAGATGAGAAAGAGAATATAAGAGTGTCAAGGAAATAATGAACTCGGCAAGTAGCTGGATTTTTTTTTATATATACACTTAGAGTATCACTTATCTCACCTGTGGAACAGGTTTGGTCTGTTCTGTTCTTACAGCTTTATACTCTTTCCTAGAGCTCAGACTCACTTGAGAGAGCCTGTGCACTTTCCCTTTCCAAAGTCAGTCAAGTATTTACGAAGGCCACCTGTATTCAGGTCAGCTGCTTATTTAGTAATGTTTGCTAATCCCTAGCTTCCAAAAATATGTTCTAAGAATGTTTCGGTAACGTTCCCATTAAGTTCTCTGAATGTTTAAAACATCCAGATTTTTAAATGTTTTAAAACAAAGTATTTTTCCTAGTTATTCAATCATTATGAAATCATTACATTTTATCATTCTGCAAACATTTTGGGAACATTAGTTTTGAATGTTCTCTGAAGTAAATGTTAGATAAATGTCCAACTAAATAATGTTTTTGTGGTAATATTTTGAGGACATTATTACACACCATATAACTTTTATTAATCTTCTATTAACGTTACTGGAAGAACGTTTTTTCATAACTTTGGGAGAACCTTGCCAGAATGTTATCCAAAGTCAAGGTGCTATTAGGTCCATTTGATTGAAAGGCATTTGAATTGTTAGTATCTTTTTTTAGCTATAGATTTCAGGATATGTGACGCTGACATTCCATATTTATTCAACAAACCTTTGACACGCTTCAGTGTTCTAGGCTTCAGACACGCACACACTGCTGTTTTTCTCACAGTTCCTGACATGTGCATCAGTATCAACATTCCCATCAACGTCAATGCTGATGTCATTGCCATCATCAGCAGCATTGTTGCTGTGACTATCTGCAACCCTCAATTCAGGGAACAAAATAATAAGCTTTGAACCTACAGAGGATGAATGCATTTAACAAAATTAGTTTTCAATCTATTTTTTCAGTGTCTGTGGTGCATCCCAACTAAAAAGTGTGTAACATACCCAGCCAAAACCATCCTGCCCCCGCATTCCCTCTGCCCACTGAACGATGCTCGATGGGGCCTTTGCACTAGTAAGAAATGTCTTCATTTAATTTCTTGAAAAACCTGCTCAAATACCTAAATATAGAGTGGTGCAGGGATGACAACCCTGCAATCAATCAAAAAACCCCATAGGAAATAATGGGGGATCATTGTCTTGTTTTCATACAAATGCCCCAATTTTCATAATGGGGTCTGTGGTAAACATAACTTGACTATACTTGAATGTTTTGCTCTACAACCTAAATTACACACACCCATGTCGAAAACGAAGCTGTTATTTTTTTTTTTTTTTAAATGTGTATTTCTATTAAGTAACTACGTAGATAAGAACATTTGGGGTGTGAGTGTGTAATTTACATTGTAGAGCAAAGTTAAATGATTGCCGCTTATTTAATATTGGATCTTTTGATAAATAGCATTATTTGTCTAGATAACTGATTTATTCTCAGGTGAGAATGTGGATCTTATCAATTAGAAATAGCCCAAAATGTAGATGAAAATAAATGTGTGGCCTTTTAAATCACAAAACAACTTTGGGCAATCAAGACATCTTTCTAATTCAGATAATCATTTTTTTACAAGTCTAATACTTAAATTTAGCTTACAATTCTTTTTAGTTTTTAGTTTAAAAATAAATATTTGTATGGATTTATAATATTTATCATTAGCAGAATTTCAGTATTGTTGCATCTATAATTATTATTCTTAATATTAACATATTTTAATTTATGTGTTGTTATTGATGTCTAATAATCATTTTTGTGTCAAAAAACTGAAGGAAAAAAAAAAACAATAATTAAACATGTTTATGCATATTGGTAATCAGGCACTTATAGTAGCAGTCATAAACCAACAATATCAGGAGGACTATCTCTAGTCCTTTCTCTAGCCCAAATTACTAATTCATCACAACTAAAAATCAATGAACTACAGTTACCATAATCATATGTTCTTGCCATGATGAATGTTATAAGAATTGGTACTGCATCACCTTCAGAGATCATTTTTTGACCCTTTTGTATGACTTTCTGTTTTTTGTGAAATTCAGTAAACTTCCAGATTTTGATCATTACGTTGTCAGTGGCTGCAGCGCTCTCCATCATTGGTTTTTTGGTGTGTATATTCTGTTGCTGCAAGTGTGAGAATGCTGGGTAAGTCTGAATATACGAGATGTGTTTGACCTATTGTATGTCACATGGCCTTTTATAACATTGTTGACTGACAAATGAGTCGCACCTTCCATTTTGTTGTCTTAAATACTATGGGGAGTTGATGTCACCTGCCTCAGGCTGTAATTACATATACTAGCATAAATGAGAATTTTGAAATGGTAAAATAGTAGAGAACTAAGACACCTCTGGATAATATAAATAGGGCTCAACAACTTAACTTTCTCAAACTGGGACAATGTGTCTTTCACAGATCTGGTCGATTTGATAACAAGATGAACCGGAAGGTAGACAAGACGAAAACAAAACAAGAGGAGAGGTAAGAGATTCAAATTTTAATATTCAAAATAGAGATGACATTAGGAAATTCAAGATATTATATAAAACCAGTTTAAAGGGGAAAAATTCAAATTCAAATTATCAAATGTCTGCTTTCTATATCCATGCATATACAGAGACCACTGCAAAATCTGCAGTTTCTCTGGATTTTCTATTTATGCGCTGCATGTGTTTGAGAAAAATCTTTTCAGACCTCGATTATGCAAAGAAAACAAGTTTATATTCATTTTTAAACAACACGATACTAATGTTTTGACTTTAATTCAGAAATAATTTTTGGTGGAATAACCCTCATTTCTTAACTCTTCTGAAGTTAAAACATTACTATCGTGTTGTTATTAATGAATATTAATAAAAAATTAATATGTTTTCTTTGCATTAACTGGTCTGAAAACATGGCATTTTTATTTATTTCTATTTTGACCAGTAATCATTTTCTGCAAATAAATTCTCTAAATGACAATGTTTTTACTTGAAATATGGAAGAAATGTTGTCAGTAGTTTATAGAAAAAAAACAAAAATATAATTTTTCTCACATACATACAACACAAATCCAGAGAAACTGCTAATTTTACAGTGGTCTCTTATTTTATTTCCAGAGCTGTATATGCACATACAGATTCATTATGGGTAGTGTACCAACCTCGGAATTTTCACGGCAGACAAAAGATAATGTTATGAGGAACTTAGATGTGACAAAAGATGCCCCATGAGAAACCTGTTTTACAGCTGTAACATCTACTGATTGTCAACATACCTTTAGGGTGTGTGTGTGATTTCACAAGGAATTTATGTTCTTGTGTTTTTCTGCCACAGAAAAGCTGAGATGAAGACTAGACACGATGAGATCCGTCAAAAATATGGTGAGTCAACAATTCCCTCATCTCAGAAACTGCATAAATAAGTGAATTTGAACAGGTTATTATGCTGGCAGTGCATGAAAAATAAATCAAAACTGTCAATCGTTGTAAAGATAAGCAGCATATGACAGTGTTTTAAAAATAGGTTTAGCCTTGTGTTTTGGAACGTTTTCAAAAAAGCTGCATGTTTTTAAAATATAGTATTTGCTATGACTAGTCAAATATTCATGTTTTTATGAAGGTGTGCTCCCTCTAGTGGTGATAATGCAATTTGACCTCTTGTGTTTCTGCAGTAAACACTCTTTGACACGAATGGATATGTGTACATTGAGTTAATATTTATGTTTTATAATAATATTTAACATTAAGCTTTGTCCAATGGCCTTTATTTTGAGAATAAATATGTTGCTGTATTTTTGATTAATATATGTAATTTTATCTTTTGTATTTCTTTCTGTCTCTGTATCAGGTCTCAGCAGGGCAAGTCCTTATTCCAGATTTGAAAATCCCAACTAAAGTGATGGGTGCATTATTTTATAAATGAACACTTTGACAATCTGCTGTCTATGCCAACATTATTAAAAATGGATAAATGGAAGAATGAGATTCCACTGTGCTCAAAATGATGAATTCAACCTAAGTCCATTTATGTTCATTTATTTTATTTACCACAATTTTCCACAAAGGCTATGCCTTTTTACTCTCCTGTTATATATAATGTTTAAAATTGTGTTTTTCCACTCATTTATTAAAACAGTCTTTTAAGTATTATTTTATAAGAACAAATGTTCATTTGTTCATTTCTGTTCTTGTCAGATTCTGTTAGATCAATAAGTTGACACAGAACACATTGCATAAGCACCGAATGGGTCAGGACTTTGCATATCATATCATTCTCATACTGATTAGGCTGTTCAGTGACTGTTAAAAAACTGCCCATCATAATATGAAAGTATAATAGCAAATTTACCCTGTAAAGGATTCACTGAAACCTAAGCTATTCTTTGTAAATGTACCTCAATATAATATGAAGTCAAATAAACTCTATTCTGCTGAGCCTAATAGACTTTTTTAGAATACTTGATAAATGCCTGCTGATGTAGTGTATGATTTATTGAATAAAATAATGAATAAATAATTAAAAGTTGCTTGCCTGTTTTGCCTTAAATCTAATAGAAAAATGTTGTTGTTGTTTTTTAACAAATGGTACATTTTGAGGTATTAAATGTTCAAATGTTATTTAATTCACTTTCTATGGGGTCTGCAAACCCTTTACCAAAACTTGTAAAATGTGTAAATATAGTTCTAACATAGCATAGTTTTAATCAATGCACAATAAATACACATCATAATACAATTTGACAAAATCTATAAAAAATAAAATATTTAAAACCCCCAATTTGGAATATAAAAATTACACATAAATGGGTATCAGGGTGGCAAGTTTGTAGTCATTGATAAACATATCTATTGTTGGTAACAGATTTGAAGGTTGAGATTGATGCATAGACCACCAAAATTTGTGTAAAAATGTTTTTTTGGGGGGTTGGATTCAGCAAAATATCAAGTTTCTGACTTTTCTCTGACTGCATACTAATAAAACATACACACACAAAGGACAAGGGCAATTAGGCCGGGACAACATTTCGACACGTGACCAGAGAATTATTGTGTAATATCAAAATGCACTTGCTATCAATCTCTCATTTTTATCTTCATTACTTGCAATGGGATTATTTGACCAGATGCCAGAAATCACTGACAGCTTCCTATCCACCACATAACACATGTAAACAGAACTGGGCCAGGAAACACCGAGCATCATTGTGTACAAATGAGGAAATATATGGCTATCACCAGTATTTTTACCTCTGGTTAAAGCGGTATGTATGTACTTTATCAATAAAATTAACTGATTCATTAGGCTTGCAGCTCTCCTCTTGCTCGCTCCTAGAACCAGGATGGTTACGAGCTCGATGGGCTCGGGCCTGCTTATCTCCAGAAATTCGCGGGGAGCTTTGCTCGCTCCCGCGAATGAGAGGGACGTCATGTGACCAGACACCAACCAATCGTTGATAAAGTAGGTAAAGGAAAGCGCGTTCCCGTCGGCAGCTGTGTTGCTCTACAGTGTTGGAGAGCGCATCTTGTGTTCAGTATATTTCCATAATTCAGACCAACAGACACCTGCAAAATGTCCGAAGACAAGCCAAAGGTGAGCCTCAGATTTGTAATTTGACCGTATTTTTAAGCTTTGTTCAAAACGGATGATGCCGAGTTCCAGTTACGTTTTAAGCAACCTTGCTGTGATAGTGAGATTGCGCATTTGTGCGGGAGAAAGGCGGTCGGCACGCAATCATTGTCTTGTTTTCATACAAATGCCATCCGTTTTTATTTTATAGGCTTCTGTTTTCATCACTAAATGTTTACAACCGTCCGCTAAGCAGATGCTCATTCAAAGTACGCGATTAATTTGTACTTACCGCGCATTCGCCCCGGTGTAATTCAGGGTTTGCGGGTTTTTCTTTGTGAGAGCGAAGTGGCGCTCACCGGCCACGTTACGCCACTGGCGTAAGGAAATGCCGCAAGAACAGCGTTACGGAATGTAAAAGAGCGTCGTAGTGCACGATGTTCGTCCGCCATTTGGATGGTAAATAAACGGATAAAGTGTATATTCCAAGTTAATCAAAAGTATTCACCCCCAAAGTTTCATTTGAGTAATCTTTCGGTTACGAATATTGAGTTCTGAGTTGCACCTCGCTGCGCCAGATGCTTAAAAATGGCGCACAGAGCCGCAACAATGTTTGACTAGAAGGCTAATAGTTGGTCCTACATTTGCATGTCTGTTTTTATGGATTGTTCGCCTTGCTCTGTTCACTGCTGTTATTGTTAAAGAGGTGGCAATGGTGTACTGAACGTTGTTATAATTCGATTTTTATCAGTTCACTTAGTTCTTAAAAACTTCCACTAGGCCTTGTTGTTCAGTACTTAGTTGTCGCCTTCGTAAAAAGATGTTCCATGGGCCTCTTACCATATTGCCATGTTCCACAGCAGGGTAGCTTATTTAAAAATGTTGTTGTTTCATGCATCTTAAATGTGTACATTTTGCACACTTTGATCTCACCGTGCATCATCATATATGCACTTTATTATTGTTTCAGGAGGGAGTGAAAACAGAGAATGACCACATCAATCTGAAGGTGGCAGGGCAGGATGGCTCAGTGGTCCAGTTCAAAATTAAAAGGCATACGCCACTCAGCAAATTAATGAAAGCATACTGTGAGAGACAGGTAAGGCTCTTCCTGAAATTACAACTAGTTAAATAATCATATACATGTTGCTGCTGTGTGGGCCGTACATGTGAGTCATGCCGTTACTGTCGGTGTGTTTTTGGAACAATTCAATAGAATACCAGAGAAATCACAATACAAAACACATCTAAATCACTATAGGTTGAACTCAAAAATATTGCTGCTTATATAATGATTAAAAACCTGTAATATCACATTCTAGACTGTTATTGTAAAACTGTAAACATTGCTTTCTTTCAGGGTTTGTCAATAAGACAGATTAGATTTAGATTTGACGGGCAACCAATTAATGAGACAGACACACCGGCACAGGTGAGTGAGAGTGCCCCTTTTTATTGCTATCAAATCCCCAGTGTTATCTTCAATATTGTTTATGTACTATTACAGTATTTATTTTAATATTTTGATAGAGCTTTTATTTTTATATTGAGTTTTAATTTTAGTTTTTGTAATTGTCTATTTGTCATTTTTATTTGTTAATTTTTTTGTTTCTTTTTAGCTTTAATTTATTTTTATTTCCATTTTAGTACTTCAATGAAAACTAGAATTGTTGCATTGTCAGCTAACTGAAATAAGTTTTTCATCTATTTACATTTTACTGTTATTTCAGTTTGTTTCAATTTACAAAAATTGTTTACTAGTTTTATTAAACAATAGTAACACTGGAAATCCCTGATCATACTCCCTTTAAAGGTTTACCAACCCCAAATGTAGGGTGTTTTATATTTTGATTGTAGTAAAAATATGTTTGTCATATTGTGTGTGTGATTTTTATATATATATATATAATTATGTTATCAAAATGATTTCTTTATCATCAGGTCACTCAAAATAATGGGTATTTTATGTGATCAGATGGAATATGTGTGTGTGTACACGTTTTATATATATATATATATATATATATATGCACATACATGTTACACACATACATATTCCATCCTCAGGTCACATAAAATACCCATTATTTTGAGTTTATATATATATATATATTCCATACACAACCAAACTTAACAGGTGACAAGCCATACAGTATTTCCATACCTTATAGTCACTTAATTTTTTTCTCGTTTGCCTGTTAGTTGGAGATGGAGGACGAGGACACGATCGACGTATTTCAGCAACAAACTGGCGGCTCCTGCTAAAACTCCACACCACCTGGACCCCACGCTTATCTATTTTATTCCTCATGATGTTTCATTCAGATGCTTTCACACTGTTTCCCCTTCTCTTTCTCTCTTTGTCTCTCTTCTGCCATCTCTAGCTTTCCTAGAGTGGGCATCACAAATGTGTTTCCAGTATTTATATACGCAATGGTTAGACAGCTACTGTGGTGGGGGGAACAAGCTCAAGAAGGCTACCAGAGGGCGAAGTTCTTCAAATTGTCCACAGGCCCCACTAGCCACTTCTGCAGGGTTTTATGTTGCTCAGAACACTGATTCTCTCGACAAGCCCCCTGACCGATCACAACAGGGAACCGCTCTATAGTGTATTCGCCCTATTAAAAGTGAAGAAGCATAGGTTTTTTTTTTCTTTTCTTCGTCTTTCAATTCTTAAGAGCTTTAAGTAGGCCTGTTTCAACTCGGATTGTATTTGCCTGTGTGTTGTAGGAATATGTTCGACCAGTGTAGTATTCATTTGCCTTTTTAATGGGGCCGCTTCTCGTATGAGCTCACTGTAGGGACGGGATCTATGGATCCTCTTGTTGGTCGTTTATAAATGAAGAGATGGATTACGTGACACAATTTACAGTGACCCTTTCTGGACCAAACCCCAAAGAATGGTACTCGATTAGCTGATAAAGGCAGGATTACACCAACTAGTTTATACTTTTAAATGTCTGTAGAAATCTATCCATTTATAATTTCCATTTCCTCTTAAATGTTGGTTGAGGAGAGTGGAATGACCTAAATGGACCAATACATCTCTTTTTCCTTTCCTTTTTTTTTTTTTTTTTTTTTCCCTTTTTTAAATCCCAAATCTACAACCAGGTCTTGAATCAAATCAAAAGGGAATCCTTTCAGGCTTTGTTGCAGAGGTGTATCTGTCATCGCTCACAAGGACTGGTCTGATCTCTTTTAACATCTCTAGCCCTCCCACTGTAATTCACACGGCTGAAAGGGAGAGAGGGTTTTAAGGGCCGACTCAAGATTTCCAGATTTTGGCATCCTTCTGTATTGACATGTACATTTTTTTTGTCCTTTACTACTGTAAACAATAAATATAGTTTGGTACTTTTTTTTTTTTTGCTGAGGCTTTTTCCATGTCCACAGAGTAATTGTTTAACAGCATGTCTTTTCAAATACAAAGCATTGTAGAAAAGCACAATGATGCATCCTTTAGCAATATGTCAAGTCTCTTTATACACACTTATTACATGTATAAACATATAAAACATGAGATGAAGTGTCAAAGATTAAATATAAAATATAAATAAATTCTGGAGTGTCACAAAGGCACTTGAATGTCACACATGTAGCTTGTTGCATTGTCTTACAAGATGAGATGCAGTGTCGTTCATATCCACTTTTAAGAGAAAAATATATTTCTAAAAATCTACAGTTACAGAGAACAATGCTTGTAAAACGATTTGGGATTTTTCAAAACTGCTAAATAAAAAACTCTTGCTTTCAGAATGGTAGTGAACAATATTTTCTTGAGATATTAAAATAAGCAGTCGGTGTGTACAGATTGAATGCTCTTTCATCCAGCCATTATTGTCCATTTTGTTTGTTTACTTTGGCTGAAACAAAAAAAACAC